TACTACTCTCCTCCATCCCATCTCCCACATCACTTCGGGAGCCTTCAAAGTTTGACATCTATTAAGATCAAATTACTAAAGGTATTAGCAAAGATATCATATTGATTCACTTATCAGATCAGAAAACTTTACAAAAAAAATTGGCATATACTCTTTTTAAAACTAAAAATGACTTCATTTCGAACTTAAAATCACTTAAATCATAGCTCTGATACCATTAAATGTAACACCCCTGACCCGTACCCGACCCGGATACAAATTCGAGGTGCCACATTTGACTTTTCAAACAATATGAAAATCACAAATATGCATAATTTAAAATTTATTGTTCCAATCAAGATAAAGAAATAATACGATTCCAAATATAAAATCCTTTCACAAAATATCTTAATAATTTACATAGATAACCTAAAGGTAAGAGTTTACAAAATACAAAATTATACAAGTTTAAAAAGTCGACCAGAGCATTTCAAATTAAACGTATAATACATGCCAACAGTGTACAAGATAACAAAACCTACATTCAATTTATTTTATTCAAACTATTTTTCAAAGAGTTTTCTTAATTTACATATCAAAGGTATACTTATGAATAATTATACTTTGTATGTTTTTATTCCAAATGTCGAAGGTATATTATTGAGAAATCTGGGTATTTGAGTACTATGAGGTTGTGCACTAGTGCTATCACCATAGCTCTTAATTTGCATCGAAGTGCTACATAATTGTCCTGAAGAACCACATGAATTACACCGAAGTGCCACATATTTGTCCCGGAAGACAATATAATTATCCCGAAGGACCACATAGACCCTCGACTCTTGGCATGCCAACTATATCTCTACTCCTCATACATATACATTGGGCTTTTAATCACATAATCAGGTTTAATCCATATTCAAAGTGTTTCTTATTCACATAGCTTCTCTGTCATAAAGTATATTCACATTCACTGATTCGAAATTCACATTCACTGATTCGAAATTCATATTCACTTATCAAGGTTCATAATACATAGTCATAAAACATAGTTATAACAATGTAAATTGCATAAAACTTTGAAATAAAACATAAAATAAATATAAAGTTTTCGATCGAAAACACTTAGGTTGACTTATCGCAAGCCTTCCTCAATTCTATTACGAAAAGAGAAGTTACACTCACCTTTGCCTCACTAAAGTCTAATCAAAATCTTTTTAAATCAATATTCGAAATGCCAAGCTGACTGAAAATTCACTTGCTTTCAGTCACTATACAAACAATCTATAATCAATATCAATATCATCTAAATTTAATCGAATCATAATAACTTGATATACGAGAACCCTATTTTTCATTTCATACTTGAGGGTATCGATACACTCCTCAGTGTACCGATAAACAATTAGCACTCGATGTTTTGGGTGTATCGATACACTCTTCAGTGTACCGATACACAAATAGCACTCGATGTTTTGGGTGTATCGATACACTACTCAGTATACTGATACACAAATAACACTAGATGTTTTGGGTGTATCGATATACTGCTCAGTGTACCGATACACACTCATACAATAACGCATGTTCAACTCATGAGGTATCGAGTTTACCGATACACTAGGCCCAGAATGGCTATTTTCATCCCGAAAATCACCTAAAAATCTTCCCAACACTCTCCTAAACACATACCTTAAGCTTTAAAACTCACCCTTATACTTCTACACCAATTAGTATTCAATTACCACTTTTAATCATCCAAATTCCCATATGAACACTTGAATTTAAAAATTAAACCAACTTTTCAAACATGTTTTTAGACACATCTAACACTTCTAACTCTTAAGATTAATCCTTGACAAGTCAAAAATCTCATTCAAACTTCTAAAACATTTTCATACCAAAATTTCATCTAAAACCCCATTTTACAAATCCATCTCTAAAACACTCATTTTGTTGATTTGATGCAATATAAGCTTTCTTTAAGCTTATATACTAACCAAACTTCCATAATCAACCAAAAGATTAAAGTAAAACTGAAAAATTCACATTCTTACCTTGAATATGGGTCTCACGTAGAAGAAGAAAAGAGAAAGAAATGCTTTTAAACTTTGCTTTGCTTTTTCCCAAACCTACGTGCACATCTCTATTAAAAGGAAGATAAAATCCCTCTAACAAAAGACCATTTTGCCCTCTTCATTAAACCAAAATTTCCATTAACCCTACACATAAATTTCACTATAAATCCTTGAGTTTACAGATTTATTCTAATTCAAACACTGAGTTTATAAATTTTATATATAATAATTAATATTATGGTAAACTATATCGTTGACCACTCAACTATGTAGTCCTTTTACTTTTATCATCGATCTTTCAATTTTGTCAATCAAACCACTTAACTATTTAAATATGTTCAATCAAGCCACTAGTCATTAATGGTTGACGGAAATGCTAACATTACAGTTAAAGAAATTGGCATAATTGTGCATTTGATCCTTAATATTTATATATTCTATCAATTTGGTCCTAATTTAAATTTAATTTAATAAATTTAATCCTCTAATCATATTGTGACACATGTCATAACACAAATGGGAGGTATTTTTTATTTTAATTATTTTATTTTTAACTCAATTTATGGAGACATGTGTCACCATCTGATTGGATGGAAAATTGAGAGTTGAAGAAAACCCCCAAGGTGGCTAGGGAATCAAACCTAGGCAAGGTTGGATAATAAGATAATGCCCAAACCACCAAACTAGGAGCACTGCTTGGTTTCAAAATGCAACATATATTTAACATATTGTAATGAATGAGAAAAAAATTAAAAAAGAAGAATTGTTATTTAAGTTAAAGAAATAATTTGATGATTATATATACATAAATTGTTGTTAAATTTATCAGATAATTTAAATTTTTAAATAATTTTGAGTTAAAAATATATAAATGAAATTATTAATAAAATTTTTAAAATTGCTACTTAAGTTAAAAAAATTAATTTAATGATTATATATATATAATATTGTTAACTCTATCAAATAATTTATTTTTTAAAATAATTTGATAAATATTGTAATAAAATTAATTTATATACATTAGTAAGAAAATTAAAATTATTACTTAAGCTACAAAAAAAAAATTTAATGATTATATATATATATATAAATTGTTGTTAGCTTCATCAAATAATTTTATATATTTGTTAAAAAATAAATTGAATTATATATATATATATATATAATTTTTTTCTCATTCATTACGATAACTTATATATTATATGTTGCATTTTAAAACCAAGCAGCGCTCCTAGCTTGGTGGTTTGGGTGTTGGCTTATTACCTAACCTTGCCAAGATTTGATTCCTCTAACCCCCTACTTTGGGGGTTTTTCTTTAACTCTTAATTTTTCATCCAATCCGATGGTGACACGTGTCACCATATGATTGGGTGGAAAATAAAATAATTAAATTAAAAAATACTTTTCATTCGTGTTGTGATACGTTTCACAATATGATTATAGGATTAAATTTATTAAATTTAAGGACTAAATGTAAAATTATGCCAATTTCTTTAACTGCCATGTCAACATTTCCGTTAATCATTAATGACTAGTGGCTTGATTGAACACATTTAAATAGTTAAGTGGTATGATTAACAAAATTGAATCGATGAAAAAAGTAAAAGGACTACATAGTTGAGTGATCATTTGTATAGTTTACCCTTAATATTATTGGTATGATCAGTGACGAATCTAGAAAAAAATTATAGACTGGACTAATATAAAAATACTTTTTTTATCTAAAATAATTTATATACTAGTATTTTAAATTTTTAAAATATAACAACAATTATATATATGGATTAAATCTATACAAAATATTAAATGGATCAATATAATTTTCTAACATAATTCATACATGTTTTCATTTAGGGTAAACTAACTATTTGGTCACCCGCCTATTACTTAATTTGTGTTTTGGTCACTCTACAATTATTTTTTCAAAATCATAGCTAACCTTACATTTTGGTTCTATTTTGATCATCCACCATTAAAAAATTTAACGATGTGAACATGATATTTTTTTTAATTATTTTTCAATCATGATATGACATTATCTTATGACGATATGTCAACCTCACTGCTAAATTTTTAAAGATGAGTGACCAAAACATAACCAAAATGTAAATTGTGATTTAAAATAAATAATAGTTATATGACCAAAATAGAAAGTAAATAATTTATGAGTAACTCAATAAGTAATTTACCCTTTTTTTAGACTTAGAGAGCTATGGCCAAGTCGGACTATGCTTGGATCCGCCCCTAGTACGATCACCATAAATCCAAAATCAGAATTTTACTCAACACTTAGAACATACCCAATAACAAAAAGGCATAATGCAAACAAATACCTCTAACGTTTTACAGTAGTCAGTATATGCAAATTTTCCCTATTGTTTTTTTAGAACATTTGACCCCACAACGTTTTATTTTTGGTTCAAAAGTAATCTCCGTTGGATGGAAACCGTTAGTCAACTGAAGGTCAACGACTCCAGCTGACTAAGCAAGCACACGTGGACATAAATGATGATGTGGCGTGTCCATGTCACTAATGTATGCTGACGTGGAATTGACACGTTATATTTTTTAAAATATAATAATTTTTTAGAATTTTGTACCAATGAGAGAGTGACATGTGTCACTCTCCTATTGGTGCGGATTGAGAAGAATGAATAAAAACAATTTTGTGGGTGAGAGGACTTGAACCTAGGGTAAGGGCATAAAATGGCACACTTGCCACCCTACCAAGCATACTACTCAATTTTGTAACGAAACAAAACCTTATTTAACCCATAATAATAAATGTTCAGTTACCAACTATTTCACAAAGCTATATTACTGAATAACCTAAAGCAAATATCACACATCATGATGTCATGTACAACAATATTAGATTCCCTCATCCACCACAGATTAATTAACTCCAACGTTCCAAAATTACATCATTCAAATACTACTTTGGTAAGGAGAATGATTTATAATATATATATAAAACCATATAACCAAACAAAATCAAACACCTTTGAATGCATTTTGCAGGCATGTCAAGGGAGGATAATAGCTCCTTCGAGAGATCCATTACAAATGGATAACATCAATTCCAGTCAGTAATACAAATAGCTCCTTCCCCGATCAATACGAGGGAGCTGAAGCTATCGCCGCAAGTCTCATCGAACAAACCTCAAGCTGATATGGGCTCATATGGGTATGATAGCCATGGGTGCTTCAGAGCCTCTACTGCACATGGACGATTCTTTGGGTTCACTTCAAGAAAATGAGCAACAAAATCAACAAAACCCTGGTCTCCCATAAGCAACCGATGCCTCAAGGATGTCTTCTTCGGTATCAGGTATTCCAGTCGATTAGTCTCCTGAAGTATAATTATAAATACTCACCGCGTTAAGCTAAAATGCATAAACGTAAAAACATCATTCAAGTTATGTAAGGAGATTGGACAGGGAGTCCCCTAAGCACAGGAAGCATGTTCAAAATAAATGTTTTCTCCCCCACGAAAGAAATAGTGAGAAGGATTGACCTGATTACGTTCATAAAGCATGTGATTCTTCGTGAAGTATTTGTATGTATCCCATCCTTTGGCAAGCATATCTTGTTTGATTGGACCTATTATTCCAATTACTCGTGCAAGCAATGTCGCAGGTGAATCATTTTGGAAGAGTACCTGCATCATATAGAAGCCAAATTGTACCAATATTTATTTATTGCTCCAAAAATAAGTATTCAGAAATAGATTAAAGAAATTATTACAGCCAAATAATGCGTTTTTCCAGTAAGATCAACTAAAGAAAATAATCATAGTCAGGAGAACAAGCTATCTAACTTGTAGCAATAGAATGAATGCTTAAAATCTAAATCTTGAAACTATAACATGCAAAACGTTGTCTTCTGACCAAGTTCGAGCCAACTTGTTTCAGAGACTCGGTGATTGGACACAGTACCAAAATTTAACCCATTTAGCATTTATGGATGAGGACATCACTGAATGCTATTACGAAGATACCATAATCATAAGCAGAAAATGCTAGCTAATGTTTAAAGATGGCTACTTATTGCCAGTACAGAGTTCTGCCAAGATACAACCAAGTGACCAGATATCTATTTTCTTGTCATATGGAAGTCCTAGGATAACCTCTGGTGCACGGTAGGACCTGAATTGAACATAGGAGCATAGGTGATCTGTCTCAAAACAACTGCTCCCAAGATTAATGACCTTCACCTCACATCTACTGTAGCTTTTAACTACTATATTTTCTGGCTTCAGATCACAGTGTAAAAAAAAACCAAATATATACCCTACAAAATGCAGTCCCCACCACTCATCACTACAGCAAAAGTGTTCTGTAGCGGCGTTTTTAGGGTAAACGTCACAAAATTTAAGCATGTAGCGGCGTTTACAATCGAAACGCTACAAAATTCTACTTTAGCGGCTTTTTTCAACAAACGCCACAATAGAGTGGTAATTTAGCGGCGTTTATAGCTCAAATGTCGGAATATAGTTGTTTATAGTGGCGTTTTTTCAACAAACGCACGTTTTTATACAAACACCGCAATAGGGTTGTTTATAGTGGCGTTTGACCAACAAACGACGCTATATAGAAGTAATTTAGCGGCGTTTATCAAACAAACGCCGCAATCAGTACAACAAATCTGGTTTTTAGCGACGGTTGTAGCGGTTTTTGGGAAAACACCATTAAAACACGTACTTTAGTGGCGTTTATGTAAAAAATGCCGCGATAGCCAGATATATAGTGGCAATTTTGTAAAAACGCCGCTAAAATTTTGTATTGTGCTGACGTTTTATTACAAGCGTCGCTATAAACGCATGCATTACTGGCGTTTTTGGAAAAACGCCGCGAAATGATAATTATATTTCCCCACTTTCTCCTTGTTGATCCCTAATTCTTTTGAACTTCTTTTTCCTTATCTTCCCTCTTGTTCCCTAATTCTTCCTCGAAAAACCCCAACGCATGGATATTTGATGATTATGGTTTGTTAGACGACATTACAATGCTTGGTGGTGATATTCCTTCACTTCACCCTTCAGCCCCTATTTGGTCGTCTAATTCCCTCGATTGATGTAATCTTCTCAGGTTCCTCTCTTCTCATTTTCTTTCTTTTTAATTGAATCCTTTTGAATTTTTGAATTTCCAGGTATCATATTAGTTGTACATTTCACGCAATTTCAAATAGGTTTCAGACTTTGGGTTCTCTAAAAAATGAAAGTTTTATGCTTTATTTTAGTGAATTAGGTTTACAAAGTAATTGCTTTCGTATTGGGGGTATTTTACGAGATCATACGGGGGCTTCATCTTGCAAATGCATCTACTTCCTTCGAATTTGAACTTCAAATGGAATTGTGCCTTCACCTATCACTACTGTATGCAAGGACTGATACCTGCAGATTAAGACGGGTATTAGAAGGGTCTTCAGCATTTATGGCTTCCAGGTACTTCAGACCATAGCTGCAGATTAAGAAGACGCTTTCCAGGTATGGACTGATACCTCGAATTATTGAACCAAACACAGAGTTTGAATTCGGGCACTTGAACCAAACACAATATGGTGAGTTTGTTCTGTTAAGTTTTTACTCTCTTTGTCGTTGTTAGTAAATTATAAGAGAAGAAAACCTTGCTCTGGGATTATGTTCTCGCTTCAAATCATCTGTTTCTTATGAATTTTGTTGGCTTTTCCATTTTCTTTTCAAATACAGTCCTGGGTATGAGTTTTTTTTTGTCAATTATTGTACCATATATCTTTTTTGGATCATTGTTTTGTTGTCTCCAATAATGATTGTCTTGTTGTCTCCAATAATGATTGTCATCACTGCCTGTATGCTAATAGCTTTTGTTTATGGCATAACTGTGTTTATATATTCAGTCACTGCTATAATTATCTAATGCTATCTTTGTTGTAGTTTGTGTTAATCTCATCCATACAATTTATTTCGATGAAAATATGTTTGCAAAGAAATAATTCCCCTAGTAGAAGAAAAGTGTTTGGCTATTTGCAAAGTTTAAGATCAGCCAAGGAAGAGATAAAAATGAACAATATGAACACTATATAGAATAATGCTTGTGAACAATGAAAGCTCGAATAATATAAGACTTGCTTACTTTTTCTTTGGTTTTCTTAAATTCTCTTTTTGTAATTTTATATCTTGGTGTTAGTGATAAGATTTTCTAACCTTTTTCATATTATGTTTGTATCAGGTATTGATGTTAGTGAACATGATATACGGTTTTTCGAGGACAATTGGGAGAGCCCGGTTATATGATCTATTTTAATGGTGGCTTTTTTTTATATGGATGTATGTTTTCCAATTTGTATAGTTTTATGCTATTGGTGCCTTGAGCATATACTTATGTTATTTTTCATGGAAAATGAGTAATCTTTACCCTTTTTTCCCTCCCTCTTTTAGCTCGAAGAGTTGTTCTGAAGGTTCATAGCTTGATGCCCATTGATTCTCCCAAGAGACCCAGACTTAGATTGTCCTCTTTAATTTATTATTCCCATTGAGTTATCAATATATGCATCCTAATGGCTGGAAATGCTTTTGCTTTACCATTTATGTCCAATGTGAATATTTATTCTATTGAATCGTGTACTTTCAGGAAGGAAATGAGTGCTTATTATTTAGAACATGCCAGTTTTGGCCATATTCAAAAGCATTTTGATTTTTTTGAGGAAGAAGCTCGTTCATTACTTGCTTCAAGATTGTCAATTCCTACGTATGTTTACAAATGTTCCAATGATTCGTATTCCTAATTTTCTCCTTATTTATTTTCTCTTTATGTTAACATTTTATCAATAACATGCTAGGTATGATCAACTTTTGAAGACATCTCATGTTTTTAATATCATGGACTCTAGAGGCTGTGTTGAGGTAACAGAGCGTGCTCGTTATTTTGGTCGGATGCACAGACTGGTCACACCTCCTTATTCCATGTTCTTACAAAGTTGGAAATTTAGAATTTAGAGGCATCCAATGTGGAAATACCTCAAGTGTATCACGTGGATGTATTTCTCAGAATTGTAAAATGTTTAGTGTGATGCATTTCTCAATGTCAATAGATTAATTTTTTATTGTTGTCCTTTTCTTTATTAATTTAGTGCAAGTTCCTGTACGAGCATGTACACCACATGGGAGCTTCAATTTTTTTGTATGTGACATAACCCAAGCCTTCTTTTGTTATTTCAGATATCTGTTGAAAATCTTTGTCCTAAGCAAGCAGAGAATGAACTTAAGGTTCGGGTACCTCCTGTTTCAAAAGCCTTTGACCTATAGGGAAATCCTACAAAGGTTTTGGTTGCCTCTTATCATGCTTTGCTAAATGTTTTTCAGCTTAACCGAAGGAAGTCTGATATTTTGTTCAGTGATTTTGTTTTGTTGGGTTGTATAATTCAGTAGTAAAAGGATTCTGACAGTTCCATTGGAGTTCTGCGTTTTTTTCTTTTTTTTCAACCCATATGAAATTTGTTATTTACTGCAGGCTGCTGAGGGTTTTTGCCGCAGATATGTTGTTCCACTGGACTCTATGTTCAGAAAGGCAGATGGTGAGTCAATTTGATTCCTGCATAATACTTGATTCTCAGTATTCTGTGCTTCATCTATTTCTAGGCGAATTTATATTATATAACCCATTAAAATCATGATAAAAACACCAAATAGGGGAAAGCAATAGGCATTGCATATTTCTTTACCAACATTCATTACGATCTCCTAAGATCCATGTCATGTTGTAAAAGGAGTGATGTTTTATTGTTTGGTCAAACTCAAGGAAATATCTTACAGTTTCATTCGTATAAGTTCCACAAGTTCAGAGCAACTGATTTGTACCTACTTGGTATAAATGATTGTCTTGAAGTTACTTTATTAATGGCAAATTATTTACCATTCGGTTACGTTGTGCACTTTACAGTAGTTAGATCATATTATTGCATTCATTGTATCTTACTGGGCCTAATATTTAAGTTATTTGATAAAATGTATTATTTGTTGAGGGAAGTCCAAGTCAGATTTGTTCGATATGGGGCTGAGGATGATGAATGGGTTAATGTAAAGAAGGTAGTACGAGAGCAATCTATCCCATTTGAGCATTCTGAATGTAATAAGGTGTCCATTGGAAATCTAGTGTTGTGCTTGCAGATGATTAATAGATGCACTCATTGTTCTTAAATCTCTCAATAATTTTCCATCTCTGTGTTAATTTGTGTTTATTTCTGGAATTTAGGAGAGGAGAGACCAATCAGATTACTATGATGCTCACGTCGTAAAGATTGATTGGAAAATGCAAGACATACGAGGGTGTAGGTGTCTCTGTTTTTTTACTTCATTTCCCATGAAGGAGCAATGAAGACTAAATTCTAGTGAACAATACTTTTTTAATTGAAAGTGAAAGAACCTAGACTAAATTCTAGAGAACAATGTCAAACTACATTACATTTAATTTTAATGTTTATAAATTTTAATTTATTTTGTTGTTAAGTATTTTTCTGCATAACTTGTGTTTTAATTAAAATGTATGGTTGTTGCTAATTAGATAAAGCTACATGATATTAAATTTAGGTGATATAGAGCAGAAATGAAATATGCAAAATCAATTATTCTTAGCTAAGTAAAGGTAATTAGCGGCGTTTGTACCACAAACGCCGCTATTGATCTGACCTTTTACGGCGTTTGTATCCAAAAACGCCGCTATAAATTTGAAATTTGCGGCGTTTGTTTCAAAACGCCGCTATAGATCTGACATTTTGCGGCGTTTGTATCCAAAAATGCCGCTATATATATGACCTTTTACGGCGTTTGTTACAAAAACGCCGCAATAAATATCGACCTTTTCGGCGTTTATTCCAAAAACGCCGCTATTGATATCGACCTTTTGCGGTGTTTGTTCCAAAAACGCCGCAATAGATCTTGACCTATTGCGGCGTTTTTTGTTCTCAAACGCCTCTAACTTTAGCGACGCTAGTATTAGTGGCGCTTCTTACGGCGTTTTTCATATAGCCGCAAGTGCTTTTAGCGGCGCTTAAAAACGCAGCTATAGGACTAAAAACGCCTAAAAAAAGCAAATTTGCTGTAGTGCATATACCCTACAAAATGTAGTCCCCACCGATGATATATGCATGAAATTGTGATTTCCTCTTTCGATTCATTACTGGAAACCCAAATATATACCATTTCGTGCAAAAACCAATTCGAAAAAAATCTTAACAGATTTTCACATCAATTTGTATGGTTATTAACAACCCACAAATTAGCAAACCCAAATATTTAACAAATGATTCGAGACAAAGACAGAAACCAAAACTTTTAACCAAACCCATTTATCCTAAACAAACCCAAATATTTGAGGTTTTTCTTTAAAAACTAAACTCACCTTCTATTGCATATGAGATAGAGAGATTGAAATGGGAAAAGATTCGGAATTCGTTCTTGATTTAAATTTGAGGTAGATTGAATTGAAAGGGGATATGAGATTATGGTTTTAGATCAATTTGAATATGAGAATACTTGGGTTTAGGGGAAAATGAGATTAATCGTAGATGCTTGTGAGATATTTGAAATGCGTGTTTTATTTTATTTAATTAAACTGAACATTTATTATGGGTTAAATAAGGTTTTGTTTCATTACATAATCAAGTAGTATACTTGGCCTGATGGTAAGAGGCGTGCTATTTCACGGCCTTGCCCCAGGTTTGAGTTCACTCACTCGCAAAATAGTTTTTTATTCATTCTTCTCAATCCGCACCAAAGGGACAATGACACGTGTCGCTTTCTTATTGGTACAAAATTCTCAAAGATTTTTTTTAAAGTATGACGTGTCAATTCCATCAGCATACATTAGTGATGTGAACACGCCACATCATCATTTGTGTCCATGTGTGCTTGCTTAGTCAATTTGAGTTGTTGACCGTCAGTTGATTAACGGTTTCCATCCAACAGGGGTTATTTTTGAATCCAAATAAAAC